TCAAATACCATTCCTTTGTTCTGCACAGATAAATCACTTTTTTCAAGAATGATCTTGAAAGATCCACATTATTGGGATTCAGAAAATGATACTGACATGCTAAAAATGGACAAACAGCATAGAACCAAGGTCTGATCTTCCTCTGCCCTTTTTAGTTCTCCCCCTAACCCCCAAGCTCATGGAGAGGCTTTCCTTGAGGACACCATATCCAAAGGAAGCTACCTTTCCAGAGAGAAAGCAATTGTGCTGAAATCTCACTGACCAAGGATTAACATTGGAAAAGGGACTGAAAATCAAGCACCTAGAACTGAAAAATTTGTGTTTTGTGTTTACTTCCCTTAAAATAATTTACTACCCCTCCAAAATTGCATATAACCCCCACTTCCCTCTCTGCCATGAAGATAGTTCTTAAGTCTCAATCATCTGGCCCTTCTTCTATTTTTTTTATTTTTTAAAGAAACAGACTTACTACATTACCCAAGCTGGCCTTGAGCATGTGGGGTCAAGTGATCCTCTTGCCTCAGCTTCCCAAGAAGCTGGAACTATTAGGCATATGTTACCATGCCCTGCTTCACCTGGGCTTTGAGTTTTAATTTTGTGTGGCTCCCATGCACAGTTTGTATGCTTTCTCTCCTGTCAATCTCTCATCAGTCTGTTTGGGCGGACTCAATCATCGAACCTTCATAATGCAAGTTTGAATTTCCCTGTAACAGTATGCAAGATAGACTGGGTTAGCACAGCCAGCGACACAGCTAGACACCCCATGCCATGTCACAGTAAGATGTGGAGAAAAGGGCTACTGCAGGGATCTCTGGTCAGGGACAGAGAGAGGTACTGGACTGTCGCTGCTTCTAGCTGACTTTCATGCAGACTCTAAATAGCAAGTGACATTCCACAACCCAATAAGGTCTGTGCGATATGGTCTCAAGAGGTTGAGGTTGGTTTGGAGTGTGGACAATTTAGCAATGTCCTGTTTTAGAAGGGGTGGAGGGCTGGAGATGTAGCTCAATGCCAAGGCCCTGAGTTCACTCCCAAGTAATACACACACATACAGTTTGGTTTAGTCTAGTTCCACCTATCATCTCTTCCTGGGAGGTACTTGTGAATGAGGGTTTTTCTGCCCAATGGCTGTTGTACCTACTCTCCTGCCATTTCCCTGGAGTGCAGGCTGGGTTATAGAGTCTACATTAGCACCCATGAGAAGTGTGGGTATAGGCAAAGAAAATGCTCACTAGCTCACTGGGGGATGGGGGGGTCCTGGAAGCAGAGGGGGCTTGGGGGAGACCACAGTGCAGGGCAGTGATGGACAGGAGTTACTGAGGTCAAGTACAAGTGGCTTAAGACCACACCAGAGATCCTGAGAGCTCAATAAACTGGACACTGCAGCATTCAGAACATCTTCCCTTCCCAAATGACGGGATCTGGGGTTACCACAGAAGCCTTCTCTCATTACTGCTGGAAATTGGGCCCATGGATTATTCTAATGGCTCTTTATCAGAGGAATGTTTTCTTTTTGGATTTGCAACAAAGGAGTCAAAACTCCTAATACAGGGCCGGGGATTTAGCTCAGTGGTTCTGCCACCTGCCTCGCAAGTGCAAGGTCCCAAGTTTGATCCCGTGAACCTAAAAACAAACAAACAAAACTCCTAAAATAGGTAAGAAACCAAACTCCTAGGACTTAAGAGCCTCCTTCAGTCAGTAGCAGGTACTTCAGAAGGCAGAAAGGAGAGGACCTCATGGGCTTGAGCACAGAAATTTATTACTGTGAATTACATTACTGTAGGAGTTATGTTTGTGCGGCATGTACTCAGGTGTTTGGGCTGCCTTTCTATTAGGGAGGAAAAAAAAAAGTGACATTAGAAAAGTTCCAGTTTGTCACACCAGACTCAAGAAGAAAAGGAACTGCACTACTACTGAGCCAAAATGCAAACTTTGCGGCGGGGGTGGGGGGGTTACTGGGGATTTAACTCACAGCTTTCACACTGACCTACATCTCCAACCCTTTTTCATCTTAATTTTTTTTTTCTTTTTACCAGGGATTGAACTCTGGTCCCTGCGCTTGCAAGGCAGGCAGCAGAACCACTGAGCTAAATCCCCGGCCCTCATCTTAAATTTTGCTAAGTTGCCCAGGCTAGGCTTGAACTTGTGATCCTCCTGCCTTAGCCTTCTAGGGTGTGGGATTACAGATGTGTGCTACCACATCTAGCTCCGAAGTGCAAGCTTTTATTTTAATTTTAATTTTATTTTTGGTACCGGGGATCGAACTCAGGTCCTTGCGCTTGCGCAGCAGGCGGTGAAACCACTGAGCTAAATCCCCAGCCCTCTGTGTTTATTTTTGGTACTGGGGATCGAACTTAGGACCTTGCACTTGCCAGGCAGGTGGTGGAAAAAAGTGCAAGCTTTTAATGGGAGGTTTGTAGAACACCCTTGAGGTGACAACTGGTGACGCAGAAGACATATGGTTCACGTGAAAGGAGAAATCACAGACCACTTGAAAGGCCTAAAGGCCTCATTCCTTGCACTGAATGGGACTGGGCACTGTTTATTTTTGGAGTAGAGAGATAAAGAGGAAACACCAGGGTCTTCCCATACACTAAGGGTTCCAGGGTGGGCATGGTTTGCATTATCAAGAGATGACAACCTATTAGCAGATTGGGGCACTGATCTGAAGACAGCCTTGATCTCTAAGCTACTCTATCTCTTTGGGGGGATAGGGTGTGCATGCAGTGAAAAGGCTGCAAAATCACTGGGCTTAGGAAATCCCTGGAATGGAGGATGAACTAAATGGCAAATGAGACACCTGAATTTCTGATTAACACCAACCTAAGAGAAGGCACAGAGAGTCCACACTGCAAAGAAGAAAAAAGTGCTTTGCAAAGTGGACACCGTCTTGACGGTAGCTAAAGTTTAACAAATTCTTAAGACATTTCTTTTTAGGACAAACCCAGTAATTTCTCCTTTAAAGTCCTATAATTCCTGCAAGAGCTTGCCTCAATGGTAAGTTTCAAGGAAAGTCTCAAAACTTCATCGAAGGCTCCCATTCCCTCAAGAGAAGCACCAAGAGGTGGTACTGATGTCCGCCTTAACACAAGAACACACACCCAGTGGAGAGAAGTGATGAGGAAAGCAGCAAGCCCAGTAGGAAACAGAAGGGACAAGGCAGACCCTTTCTCCACACCTATCCTAAGGTCTCCATGGGCCCTGGTCTACATACTGGAGCACCTTTTTCAGCGGAAGCCTTTTGTCTAACAGGAGCTTCAAGTAGTAGATCTAAGAAATGACCCTATTCTGCACATCATAGTTTCACTTTAAGACAATCGACAACTAGTTCTAGAATACGTAGAGAAAGAAATTCACAGACTTGTGCCTTTGTGTTGTCTGGGTGAATAATACAGCCTGAGCTAAATTATCAGTCTTTTGAAAATTCAAAAGTACTGAATTGAGTACTCAAATCTTGAGCTGAGAAGGGGGCAAGGTGGCCCATCTATAATACTTCTTTTCCTGAAGAATGACTAAGTGTAAATAATTCATAGCTCATTACAGACAAATCATTACTAAACACTAGAGAAGCTGGAAATCCACTAGGTCTATTCAGTAACAAGACCTAGAAATCTTAGATTCCATATTGGGATTGTTTTGTTTTGTTTTGACATGGTCTATGTGGCTCAGCCGACTCTTATATTTACAGTCCTCCTGCCTTACTTAAGTGCTGAGATTACAGGTGTACATGACCATGCCTGGCTTCAGGATTGGTTTTCTTCTATGGAATCTAGAAATTTCAACCTCTTAATGCTCCAATTTACTACTGAAAGAAAGGGAGGCAAAAGGCATCCACTTCATAATAGAATTACATTTAGCTATGGTTAGTATCTCTATATCCTTGGAAAATTGCAATGTAGTCTCTATGAGGCAGTCATTTCTATGTTGAGTTTTTGGGGTTAGGATAGGAGAGTTAAATTGACTCCCTATCCTTTTAATGCTACCAGGAAAAGAACAGTGAAAAGTAGAATAAAAATAGAATACATCCTTCACAAAGTAAGTTTGAGGAGGAAAAGGATTTGCTAAATTCTTTTACCAGGGCTTTGAATTTAAGTCACTTCTGTAAACACTGGTCCCAAAACTGGTGGAGACAGCAATTCTAGACATGAACATTTCCAACAGACCCAGGTAAGAACTGTTTGTTAACAGTTTTTGTTTGTGGGAGGAGTGGTGGTTAGGGAAGGGCTTGAATTTGGCAGATCTCCTTTGCTACTTGGACTAAGTGATGAAGATGTAAAGAATATAACTCAAAGCTCATGAGCTTTCATAATAAAATGAGATACATTTTGATTCTTACACAAAATTCAAGGAAGTTAGCCATGTATAACTATTACTATTATCTCATAAATTTATAATCTTACAATTAGTTAAAAATAATTCATAATTAGAATTTGTTAGAGTTGACAGTGGGGTTTGGGTTCTTCTGTTCCCTAAAGTCCTAATCGTGACATGTCTATTTTCACTGCTGAAAGAGATCAAAGGGATAGTTGTGGATATATGTACACAAAGTGCTCACAGATACATCTAGGATGTCTCAGCTTCCTGCAATCAAAAGAAACTACAGGGGAAAGAAAGGAGGTTTGCAAGTAGTTATTAGTAATAACAATTAACAGTTATATTAGTAGTTTATAGCTGAATTGCTTAAAATTTGGTTTTATTAAGTTTCCTACAAAGTAACAAAGAAGGTGTTGATATATTTAGCACCTTTGATCTTTTAGGTGCTACACAAATGCATTCTCAATCAAGTCCTCTTTAAAAAAAAAAAGGTAATTCAATTCATCAAGAAGACAAAACAATTTCTGACCTCCCAAAGTGTGCGACACAACGAGAGGGTCCTTGGGTCTCAAATTACAGCTGGCAGTATCCCAGGGACCCAGGAAGCAAATGAAAGTCATGCCAGTGGTGAGGTGATTTCTTCTCAAAGCACTCAAGATCCACATCTGAATTCTGCACACAAGCTGTTGATTTTTTTGATCTGCAAAATTTTATTAAGTAATAGCTGGACAACTCTTACAATTTTAAATCATCAAGGAATAATAAGATTAAACCATCTCAATTAGAAAAACAAAATATGTTGGACAAACCACATCATTGTGAATGGAAACCATTAATGCCTTCTAGAATACCTTCTGCACAATCTAATACACAAAATACATAAGAAGAGAAGAAAATAAGAGTTCACTGAAATGCAGTTGGAAATCTCAACAGATCTTGCTTGGAAAGTGAAACAAACAGAATGTTAAATTAAAAAAAAATTAGTGGAACTTAGGCACACAAAGCAGTGCACACCATTCTCACGGTCTCGACAAGAACATGCTGGTGGTCTTGTATGGTCTGGGACCTGCACTGCACACTTATGGGAGGGGAAAGAAAGAGAGGAGGGAAAGAAAGAAAGAAAGAAAGAAAGAAAGAGAGAGGAAGGAAGGAGGAAAGAAAGAGGTAGAAAGTAAAGAAGAAAAGAGAAAGTGCCAGTAGTAATAAACTAAAAAATTGTGTCCAAATTTACAGTACCAAAATAATGCATTTATAAACAAATGCAAAAACAATACCCCTTTGGTAAATAATACAGTGCCTTTTTTTACGCATAATCCATGCTTTTCTACAACATGAAAAAAATTTTTTTTATCTACAATAAATGAGATCTTAGAATCCTATCTCTTCCTTTAAAAAGAACTTATAAACAGAAAATACAGGTACAAGTAAAGTCACAAGAAAATTGCACAAAGCCAAAGAAAATGAAAACAAAATAAGCCACAACCCTTCAGAGTTTATCAGCCAGAGATAAGTAAATACACAAATGGCGTAGAGTTCTGAGTTGCGTGTGTGTACAAACTCCTAGGAACTCAAACGACATTTCTGACATGTTCTGTCTCAGCTAACTTTTGTCCACAACCGTAGACTTGGCCAAGTAATCTGCAGTCCACACAGGTACACTATGTGTTCTTTTTTTCACAAGTTCCTTTTCAAGAAACCTTTTGAATTTGAAGGTGGTGTGATACTTGAAACACACTAAAGATTGCAAGTCCACCTAAGTTTATACTCTTCCATTCTTTTTGAATCCACCCTCGGGTTCTGAAGGCAAGTGGGCACTTATTTTAGATCTGTTCTCAAGGACAGCCAGTGAGTAGGGCACACTCATAGAGGACTCTTCTGTCTTGCCTGGAATCAGTGCTTCTGAGTAATTTTTCAAGAACAAGCATGAATCCAAATGCATTTCTAAAGATATTATGTTAAGTGCACTGGTTTATATTCAGTAGACGGCTCATAGACTCAGGAAAAGAAATGCTCTAGAAAAAGACAATGTTCTGAAACATACTTTCTACGCTTGTGAAGTGGGAAGATTAAACTTTTCAATTCTGAATTCCTGGGCTATTGGAACTGGAAGGGAGTAGAGAAGATTCTTCAGACATCTCTTGTAATTTACGGATGAAGAGAGAAGTCTGACACTCCCAGGGATTTGTCACCCTCCTACCTTAGGGCAGAGCAGGCTCACCTCTGGGGCCTTCTGGTCATCTGCTGTGATGACAGAATGAAAATTACGTTTTTGCATGTCTGTGTGGGGGACTTGATGTGGAAGCAACTGGATGAAACAGCTATGGATGAAAAATGCCAACCTGCGAAAGTCTGTGATTTACATTGCCATTAGAGCTTTCAGAATTTCCTGCTTCTTTGGTCCCAATTTTTCTCAGGATATACATTCACTGGGTATTTTTGTGCACATACCCATGACACCTTTGGTTTGAAAAAGTTAGAGCTAAACAAATTCAAAATTGGTTTTATGTTTGTTAATATACCATTTCCCTCAAAAAGTCTTTACATAATTGACTTTTTACTGGACTAATGTTTTTAAATTTAGGAAGTCAATGAGGTATCTTGACATTCATAAATTGGTATTAATAAACATGATGTACTTAGAATTCTGCTGCTTAAAGTCCTAACTTTAATAGTATTTTATCAACTGAGACTGATGGAAAGGAATTTTTAAAGTAAAACCACTACCTTAATTAGAAAGACACCATATCACAACAGCTGCAGCCACAGATTCTGCCTGGTCTGGCAGGTGAGATTCATTCTCCCTCAGCCTGGGGTGGGCGGAATGTGCTGGCAGCTGCTGCAGGGATAGGTCTGCCTGTAAGGCAAATTTCTTTTGGGGACTGATTTCCCCTGTATTTGTTCTTATTAAGAAAAGTTCTAAAATGTACTCTTCTGTGGTTTATAGCTCAAAAACTAATCAGAACTGAAAAATGAAGCTTATTTTCTTAATAGTTCCTTCCTTTGCTACTCTTATCTAACAGCTCTCCTTTTCTCATTTCTTATTATCCATTACTTTTTATTAAAAACATTTTTCAAAGTAAGGGGAAATATTATTTTAGGGTATGCTATATCAAAGAAATATTCTCCTTTGTATACAATCAATTCCAGAAAATTGAAAAGAATTACTTAAAAAGATTAATAGGATTTTCCCAATTAGAAAAAGTTACAAGTTATCCAGCAAAAACATCATATCCTCTTTATTTCTTGCAGCAAAATATACTGCTACCAAATAAGTCATTACAAAGGTATTGTTTTTCTGAATAAATAATAAAATGGGCATAAGTCACCAATACATAGTAACAAAATAATTCCTAAGAATACTATGAAAAGCAAGATAAATAATCATCTCTTGGAAAACAAAATGAGATTAGCATTTAAATTATTTCCAAAACAGGATATAACTTATTGCACAACTAATAAGCACTGAAACATCATATCAAGCTACAGAAACTTGTATAAGAATGAGATAATTTTGAATACATTGCTAATTTCTGGAAAAATTTATTCACCATATTCATCAGTTTTTTCATTGCTGAGACACAATACCCAACATTCAAAACTTAAAGGAGGAGAGGTTCGATTTGCTCACAGTTTCAATCTATGATGGGATGGCTCCAAAGAGAGACATCATGGCAGAAGGGTGTAGTGGAACAAAGCTGTTTAGCTCTTAGAAAAAGCAGAGAAAAAGTGCCAGAAAGGAAGAGGCAAGGGACTACACACAGATCCCAACACCATGCCTTCACAACTCACCCAGACACACCTACAAGTGTGTTTCACCAATCTCTGGAGATCTCAAAGCCAATCAAGTTGAAACTCTACCCTAAATGCCACACCTACCAAAGAATTGGGCCCAATATTTTTCATTATAAAATGGAAAACTCCAGTATTAGCTGGGCTATATCCTCCGCCATATTTACAAAACTTGTTAGTATAGCCTTGACAGCAGGCTAGGAGGCAGTTTGTATTTTCTTCAAAGACCCTTGTCCTGGTTGCTTAGAAACAACCAGGAGTTTGGAAAGAATGGAGAGTGTTGTCATTTTGCTGAGAAAGGAATGGGCCACTTTCTTCCCTAATTTTTAAACCAAATGTAGGAAGTTAAAAACCCAAAACAAGCCAGGCATGGTGTAGCATGCCTGTAATCCAGCACTCGGGAGGCTGAGGCAGGAAGATTGCCGTGAGTTCAAGACCAGCTTGGGCTACATAGTGAATTCAAGGCCAGGCTGAACTACATAGCGAGATCTTGTCTCAAACAACAACAACAACATCAACAATAACAACAACGAAAAAAAAAACAAAAAACAAACCCAAAACTTAACCAATTGCCCTAAGCTTAATAATTTTAACAATGTTTTCCCAGTGGTTTATTTCCTCAGTAAACAGTCCATACAGTTAATAAACAGCTTTTGTTTTTCTTAGAGAAGAGTATGGAATTTCTGTCCAAGATGTGACCACACCTCTATATTTTAATACCTGACAAATGCTTAAAATTATTTTTGGTTACATTTCTAATTTTTACATTTCTAGTCATTTGAATTTTAATGTAGCCAACAGGAGGAAAGGAGTGATTTTAATACAAGTCCCACCCACACTCTGAGAAAGGATAGAACAATGATACCTAATGGGAAAGATCATTTTTATAGTAGTGTATTCCAGATTAAAGAATGAGATAAAGAGGGTGTTTCTCAGAAAGTGGGGGATCTAGTGAATACCACACGGAGAAAATCCTTAGCCCTCCCCTAGGCTGGGATCTTTCCACTACTGTGCCCTACCTTCTCAAGTCAATCTTACTTAATCATCCTTGATCCTACAAAACACTGACATATGATGAGACCAGTAGTCTTCCAATATAAACATCTTTGGAAGAGGAGTGTGGCCCTTGTACAAGTCATACCATTGAGTCACCCAGGTGTCTGCAGAGCCTGTCTATTCCTCCTCACCCATCAGCCCTTCCCCAACACCCTTGATGACCAAATCACATTTATCCTGATTTATCACCCCCATACAGAGCCTACTTGCATTAGTCAAATACAGTGCATTTGCCCAAAGGCCCTTCATTCGTCAAGTCACTTTTTGGAGGTAGCATAAAATATGTGAATTAAATGCAGCCCTCCTCAAGAGAACCTGAATCTTCAGGCTTCAGGTTTTTGTTTTGCATAAAGGCCAGATGTTGTGGGGAATGAACACTAATGCACACTTCTCCTAAAAGAACAGCAGGCTAGAAGGCAGTCTGTCTTCTCTTCAAAGGCCCTTGTCCTGGTTGCTGAGAAGCAAACTCAGTAGAACATTCGACAGCCAAGCTACATTTCCTGAAAGAACAACAGGCACTAGACACTCTTGGCTTCCAAATGCCATTCTACTAAAAGAAGAAAAGAAAGACAGACCATAAGGATAACCAAATAAACAACCACGCCTAATGGTCAGTGTGTCTCTTCTTGGCCTCATGGGCTCATCCAGTTGCAAAGTTGTCTCTGGTCTTCCTGGGCATCCAGCCACATGGGCTCTTCCTCCAAAGGCTCCTTGGCATCTCCTCCCCACACCAGTCTCTTCATTTGAGGCGCTGAGTCACATTGGCCAGGGCAACTGCGAAGGCCTGCACAGCTGAGAAGGGGTACTGGAAGTCTAGAATGTACGCATTGTCGTCAATCCGCCCAAACTGCATCACCTGGTGGTGGTGGTGGGAGGTGAGGAACAAAGCATAAGAGGAAAACAAGGTGGGAAATAGGTCACCAGACCTGCCAGCTCCTGATGGAAGCAGACAGCACAATCTGTGAGATAGATCTGCTAACAAAAGAGACTGAATCTGATCAAGCTTCTAATCTAACAACTTTGTAGGAAACAACAGGAATTTGTGACATAATGAAAGGGGAGGCTATAAGCGTAATACAGAATACAGGGAACTCTGTAGGTCAATGAAGTAGGTTCTTCACAAAGGACAGAGAGAGAAGAAAAAGGAGAATCTACAAGCTAAAGGGATTCACAGAAGTAAGTATCAAGTGAAACTGTAGAATGTCTCTGCCTCAGAAAGGGTCTCCCCACCCCTTTTCCAGGATATCACAACCTCCTTCCCATCAAGCTCCTCCTCTGCACCCCACTGCACATGTGACCATGCTACTTTCTGTAGCCATAGGACATGAGGTTACAACATTATGTTGTAGGATATATACTGACTCATTTGTGGTCTTTCTCCCACTTTTGGAAACTCCATGATGGCAGTGACAGCCTTGTTTTATTTTCTGTTGTAATTTCACACTTAGAGCAGGGGTTGGCACATTTTCTACAAAGGGTTATGATAAAAATTTTAGGCTTTGCAGGTTGCATAGTCTTTGCCATACCCACTCAACTCTGCTAATATCAGATGAAAGGAGCACAATATACTTATCAAATGAGTTAGCAGGGCTACATTTCAAAAAAACTATTTACCAACAGAAGCAACAGGCTAGATTGACCCATGGGCTACACAGGCTACAATCGCTGGCTTAGAAGACTGTCAGGTACATAACAGATATTTGATAAATGTTGATAAGTGAACTAACTGAAATGTGAATTAGAAATTGGGAGGAGAATGGAATTTCCAGCACAGCAAAGAGGGAAGTTACACAGCAGGGTTAAGCAGCTATGTAGGCTGGAGTAGGGACAACTGACAACTCACCCACTATGCAGAGGCTGTACCCAGAGAAGACTTACCTTTTGTCAGAGAGCTGAGGGAATGACTTAGTAATAAGTACAAGAAATAAGCAACAAGAAAACAAAGAAAAACTAGGAAATTAAAGTGTCTAAGAAAAACACCCATACTAATTAAACTGTCATACTAAGCTCAGCTGTGAATGCTACTTATTGGCATAACAAAATCACCAATGAAGACTGCTTTAACTGGGAAAAGGGGATAGGGAAAGTTCATGGGTTTGTACGTGTAGGAATGGAAGGTGGGGTAAAGGAAACTAACATTCCTCAGACAGAAAGGACAGCTTTCTTACTCATCACAGCTGAGTAAGGGTATTGAAGTCTAGAATATACTAACTGCTGTCAATCCTTTTAGACAGCATTATATGGTGGGAGGGGGTGGAAGAGAACAAAGACACAAAAAGAAACAAAGGAGGAAAAGAAGCAACCAGACCAGCTGGCCTCTAATAGAAGCAGACAGCACAACCTATGAGACAGTTCCTCAGGAAAAAGGAATATACGATGCCTCAAATGGAAACATCAGTAAGTAGAAGTATAAACATGTTCTTTGCATATCTGATAAAATTTTTTTTGGCTCCAACAAGAACCAAATGCTGGGAAGCTCCTGCCTCTGAGAGAGCAGGTGCCATGAGGGGTGCCGTGAGTTTTCTTTACAAATCTCATGGAATATGAGAAAAAATACATAAAAGACTACAGTGGGTACATTATAAACCCAACTGGCTGCACCTAAGAGATATCTGCTGTTTTCCTTTCTTGCTTTGGCTTTTGACAAGTGCTCCCATGGGGGCAAAGCACTGAGATCCTTCACCCTGTGGTCACAATGTTGCAACTTCCTTACCTGCCGCCCTTCCAACTCGATCTGGAAGTTCTTGGTTGACTCCTGAGTCACCCGCCCTCCAAAATCCAGCTGGTACACCTGTGTGGCCTCGTTCCACAGAGGCTGCTTGTTGGCCATCACATACACAAATCCCTGGCTACCCAGCCGCCCGTCCTCCTTCTCACTGGCTTTGCGGCACTTGAATTCCTCTAGCTCGCTGGCTGTCCGAAGGCTCCTCTTGCTCTTCCACCCCTTCTTGCTGCCCTGGTTCTGGTTCATCAGCTCATCCCCACTAATGAATAGCTCAGGCTCACTCTCTGAGCTGTCCTGGAATTCGTTTGTTTTGTTCAACTTCTTTGACTTCAGTTGGTCTTTCTGACTCTTCACTTTCTTTTTCTCTCTTCCTAGGCGGGGACTGGAGATGAGAGAATTAAAGTCACTCAAAGTCCTAGCCTCCTTCTTTACTTTGCCCTCAGTAATGGCCTGAACATTTCCTTCCTCTGCTCGGCTGTCCAGGCGCTTTCGGTTTTTCTTTCCAAATTTTTCTGTCCGCTGGGGGACTGGGCTTTCTGTCAGGGAGAGGACTTCTTGGAAGTTGTCTGTGGTCTCTACCATCACCTCAGTGCCCATGTGGCTTTGGAGGTCAGCTGGTGGTGGGGACACAAGGGGTTTCTCCACCACCAAGTGGGGCTTGGGTGGGAGAGTGCCCTGGGGGTTCTGCACGGGCGGGCAGGTGCTATAGGAACTCCATGGGTGCAAGGCGACAGGTGGCAGCTGTAAACTGGAGCATGTGCTGCTTCCTGGGTACATGGGGGGCAAGGTGCAATAGGAGAGGCTGGGTGGGTACGCTGGCTGAAGGATGACGGCAGACTCCTGTTGTGCAAATTGTGTTGGGGCCAGGGCATCTTTGGGGGAGGAGCAGGGAGCCTGCACTCCAGGCAAGGGGGGGTTGTTATAGCTTCCTGGAAATGGCACTCCCATCCCATAGCCTGTCTGGAAAGTGGCAGTAGGGCTAGTGGGAGACTTGGGGGAGACAAAAGGTACCCGGGCAACATCCAGGTGCTGTCCCTGCCCTAGAATCAGAGGGGGCAGTTTCAAAGGATTGGGCACTGCAGGCTGAGCTGTCCTTTCCTGGGGAACCCAAATGTCCTCGCCCAGCACAGGGTCCCACTGGTAAGGGGGAGGCCGCTTCAAGGTGACAGCAGCTTCCGGTAGTGTGGGGTGCCTCAGGGGCTTCTCCAGCTGACAGTGCTGGGACAGGGCCTCATCTTCTGTGAAGGCTGAGTTTACATAGTCAGTACGGTCACGGGTGCTGTCAGGTGGGCTCAGGAGACTGTAGGAGGACTGGGAAGCCAGTGGAGAAGTGCTGACGGCATGGGCCAGGATGGCACCTGACTGTGAGCTGGGCCCTGCACCACTACATTGGCTGCAGGTGTACAGGGCTGGTGGGGGTCGTGTTGTGAGCTGTGCCACAGCCCCAGCAGGGCCACCCTTGGGCTTGGCCAGGGGCTGCAGTGGGGGCCGGGAGCTGTCAGCCAGCTGGGCCATTTTAAGGGCAACCTCACGGTTGTTTCTCCTAAGGGTAGCATGGATGAGGCTGCTATCCAGTCTCTGGACAGTGCCCCGCCCTTGGGCCAGCTGGTTAGCAATCTCAGGATATGGGGGTGGGTCCCCTGTGGGGATGGAATATCGAGGGACAGTGAGGCGGTTCAGGGTAGCACTGGTGCACGGCTGGGGGACCTTCTTCTCAGTAGCTGTGAGCCTCAAGGTGGCTGAGCTGCCTGGGCCGGGAAGGGTATAGGTGTTCTGGGAGCAGAGCATCCGAGTACGAGGCCGACACACCTCCTCCACATTGCCACTGCTGTCAAAAGTAGTGATCCTCTCATAGCCTAGGGGGTGCTGGTAATGTGCTGATGTAGGGTAGAGGGAGAAGTCCCCCTTCTTCAAGCACACATCCACTGGGGGCTGAGGTGGTGGCAGAGGGGGTGGGGGTGCAGCTGTGGTTGGGGCAGCAGGGATAGTTCCTGGATAGGGGGGTGGGGGATTCATTTTTGTCACCTGGACCTCCTGGGGGGCACTGAAGACTACTGCATCCCCCTCAGCAGCTAACTGAGGCACTGGCCGCAGGGCCTTGGCTGACTTCTGCAGGTGCTCATGGTCTCGGTCTCCATGGTCCACCATAGTCAGCTGCATGACCCCCTGTGGTGGTGGTGGTAGTGGTGGTGGTAGTGGTGGTGGTGGTGGTGGTGGCGGCGGCGGTGGTGGGGGCGGTGGCAAGGGCAACTGAGGAGGGTTCTGAATGATGCGGGCCATTTCCACACCTCCAAAAATCACCTGTCCAGGGTTGGAGTACCGGTTGGGGATTGGGTACTGGGTCGAATTATCACCTATATGTTCTGCTGCTCCCACAGCTGTCGTCTGATTGGTCAGGACATCAAGCTGCACATTCTGACTGGCCAGTAGGGACTGCACCAGCCCAATATTCTGTGTGGGGGAAATAGCTTGAGCCGAGCTGTGGATTGGTGCAATAGGGATGTTCACAGTACAAGGTGGGTTATTCTCAGGGACACCAGATGCTCCTGTCACTGGAAAGAAATTAGAAAAAGGAACTACTTGCAAAATAGTGTCATGATACTGGGTCAGTATAAACATTACATCTGGACTCATCTTATGTTTTGCATGCAGAATGCAGTTGCTAGAGACTGAGATGTGTTTGCTTGGGGAAAGCTATACCATTCACAAAGCTTCTCTAGTATTTCCAGGAGGATACAGAGGAAACTGGGGGGTTTTCTGGGTAGCCTGCCCGCTGTGTGTAGGCCAAGGGCATTGTCAGAGCTCTCCAATGAACACATCTGAATGTGAATTTGGTACCATGTACCTAAGTGGTATCATCACAAATAATTAATAACTTTTTTACTGATAATACTTAGTGGTAGTCTACCCTTTTTTTTGGTACTGGGGATCGAACTCGGGTCCTTGTGCTTGCGCAGCAGGTGGTGAAACCACTGAGCTAAATCCCCGGTAGCCCACCCTTTTATGCAAGAAAAGGACAATAGTACAATATAGGACTCCACTGAAGACTCACAATGTTTGAGCTTCCAAGCAGATTTATCCACAATTGTGGGTTGGTTGACGTGGAAAGTGTCACACAACAGATGTGTATCTGAAATCTGTACATAAATTAAGTTTCTATAAATAGAACCATATAAAATATAGTAGAAAAACAGTAAAAGGAATACTCTAGCAAATGTGTGTATTAAGTCAAAGATCATTTCCTAATTTAACTGCTTTATAGCATTTTGAACAATATAGGTAGAGCCATGCTGAATAAAACACTATAAATACTTCCTTAGAGTGGGAATCTCATGGAGTATGCATATGAATAGTTACCTGCAGATAAGTGCTCAGAGGGTGCTGTTTGTGCCCTCTTGAAAGTACCCACTAAGAAGCTGCCGGTTTTGTTCCTCTAGACCCACTGAGCCACTATGGCTCCTGTTCAGAAAACAATGCCAGAAGCCTGAAGCCTGGTGCTAAGTCATGCAGCAACTGGTAGCTGGGCAGGAAATAGTATCTAACAGGCTGGCTGCCTAGTACCAGAATGGCAGAATGCAGCCAGCTGGCCTATCAAAAGACAAGCCCACAAGCCAGTCATGGTGGTGCACATCTGTAATCCCAGTTACTCAGGAGAGGATGGAGGCAAGATCACAAGTTCAAGGACAACCTGGGCAAGTTAGCAAGATCTTGTCTCAAAATGAAAAATAAAAAGGGTTAAAGGTGTAACTCAGTGGAAGAGTATTCCTGGGTTCAATTCCTGGTAACACATTTTAAAAAAGGCAAGCCTGCCCTTGGGGCCTATAACTAACTCCCTCCCTTCTTGGGGCTCCAGTGAGACACAATTATTCTCCGAACCAATGTGGGTGGGTGCCATCTCAAGTTTCCTATCATTCCTGTTCAAATCCCTTTTCCAGATGTTCTCTGGCCTGTAGGGAATACTTAGAGCAGGAATCTTCCACTCCAAAAGAGAAGTGTCTTTACTGAGCCACCATCATTGAATACAGCCCTAAGATAGTATACTGTTTCCTCACTAGAACGAGAGACAGCAAAGACAACAACTGCAGAAGCAACTGAATATTGGAGAAAGCTGTATTTGTGGCATTTGGGGAGAACACGAGGGTGCTAAGGGAAAGTTTAAAAGATACTTCTCAATCTAAGAGCAGAGGATGAGGCTCGAGTCCATGAGGTTTTATAAAATTGAATGTACTGATGTTGGAAGAGGAGGAATCTCTGTATCCATGAAAGTACAGGCGGACTTTTACTTAGAAAGGCAGATGTTTGAAGTACCGTAGCATAACTGACAATAATTACATGCAATTAATTGATAGACTAAAAATCATTCTATCAATCAACATAGGATCCTTTAAGGATCTTCTCATCAAGAAACAAACTAACTTATCTTATCTGGCAAATGACACTAAGAGGGTTATTGTGAGGACATGGGCAGACAGATGGGAGAAGGCTCTGTAAATGTGAGGCCATTGCCATTTTAAGGAGCCATGCTCCTTCTTCTCAAATAAGTACCCATCTGTGGTCTTCCTCTTGGGACATGACACTCCATCTAGTAACCTTACCCATCTGAGTATGCCTTTTCCAGACCAAGGTGGCAGGCAATACTCTGTAGTGACTTACCACTCTGCCCTCCTGGCACAATCCGCTAAGAGGGACCATGATACACAAGTCCATGTATGTGGACACACCTGGTAAATCATCTTCATCTTCACTGAAAACATTTGGGTTGAAGACAGGTAAATTAATATAGTCCATGGAAATCTTCCGAACTTCTGGGAGATAGATGGTCATCTGCCGTGGCTGGAGATGCAGCAGGCTGGTTTTATAGATCACTGTGGGGAGGAAAAAGGGCACAGTTAATAGAGACATGGTGGAGGAGACCACAGCTCCAGTGGGGTCTCGGGAAGAAGAATGAAGGGCTGTGTTCCCTGCTGTAAGAAGACAAATCTGCACAGGCAGAGCCAAGGGTCTAAGCTCATCATCTCTCCAGGTATACACGCAGCCAAGCAAGTCATGGTTTTAGACTTAGCAATGGTAAATACTTAGTCTAGCTTGGTTACTCTGCCAACAGTCCATGTACAGAACCAAGAATTCTGAATGTCAAAAACACCTTAGATTTAAATCCATTTGTTTTTTGGGAGGTAATGAGCTGAGGTAGGAAAATTTATTATTAAAAAACTTCATCTGAAGAAGGATAATTTAGTGAAAACAGTGGTAATGAGAGTGCCAAGCTTACGAAACATTTGGGCAATCAAGGAGCTGTTTGAAAGCAACAGGTAGGGGACAGGAGACAAACATTACATAGGAAGAGAATGATGGCATCATTCAGGGTTGGATTCTTGCCTTACTGTCTTTCAACTTTAACATAATGATCAGGACAGAGATTTATGTGGAACTTCCACACAGCTTTTTATTTTAACTTTAAGATTTAATTTGATTAACAGCAACATTAAAGAGAAAGCCAAAATTGCAACTAAAATATTTAGAGACAGAATAAATTAAAAAATAATTTGGATTGAAGTTTCATAAGACGTTAAAATTATGGTGAAAGGTCCTGTCAACTCTATGTTTGGGCCAGGGATTTAGCTCAGTGGTGCCACACCTGCATCCTAAGTGCAAGGTCCTCAGTTCAATTCCTGGTACAGGGAAGAAAAAAAAAAGAAAAAAAAAAAAACCACCCCAATACTATCTCCTATGAAATATGTAGATACAGAGGTTCTTTACAGATTATTTTTGATGGTAAGCCATATCCCATCTCCACAGTCAAGTCCTTGAATATCCCTGGGCCTGACTAGCAGGCACTGCTTTGGCAGAGCTGCCGCTTTGCTGAGGCCTCTGTACAAGGCTAGTGCTTGAACTGGTGGATAAGGTAACTTTTCTACCCGACAGCAGGAATGGCTTTACCCCTGTGTTTCTCTGAACTCAAAAGAAAGACAACATAAATTCTGGTGGAAAAATTCTGTATGGTTCTGTACGGCTAATATTTAATGAATTAAAGTGCTACTCGTTGTTGTTCAGATCCAGAAAGAACAATTAAAAAAAACTCCTAAGGAGGGATTAGGAGAACATTTTCAGCTGCCTCCAGGGGAGAAAACTAGGTGGGAAAGGGTGATGATCAGAGAGATTTTTATTATACACTCCTTGGAATTTTCTGAATTTTTAATCTTGTATATTTTTTAAATTAAGAAGTGTAAAAATTAAAAATAAAAAATTTCATGGGGCAGATATTCTAATTCAAGGAAATAAATTATCCAATGTAGGGAACACTCACTTTTTAAATCCACTAGAGTAGAACAGTATATATTGTTTTTGAAAACATTTAATGGGGTACCATATATACCTTCTAGAATCATAATAGAGTTAATTTCTTTCCTCTAGTAGAATTAAGTGGAAAATTCTTTTATCTTAATACTATATATACCCAAATGCTCTTTTTAAAAAGGTGGATGATGAGGACAATCATCAAGCAAGCTTTTGTCTTAGGCACTCAACTGAGTTATCTAGAGCAACAGGTCCTCAGAGGTACTCATTTTAAGGTCCTTATTGGTTTATTTGTGGATCTACTCATACAAGAAATAAGGGTAGAATGAAAAGATCCATTAAGTAAATTCACAGTTTCATTTTTTTTTCAATATATACTACAGGCAGATGGCAAAGTTCTCAGATTACTGATTTGGGGATAATAATGATAATCAAACAGTGTTTATTAAAAAATCAACCATATCTGTCAACAGGGCACTGATGAATACCTGAACAAACTTCTGTGGTCACTAGTGAGTTTCCAGGTTGATGAAAACATTATAAGTTTTCTTTGCTTTACACACAGGGATGGTATATTGTTATTTCCAAGTCAGTTTTATGTTTTACTTTTATTCTTCTTTTTCTTTGAGCTGAGAAACCTCAAAATGAAAAATCCAAATGAGTGCTCTTTAATAAAATCTCTGAAGATGCACACATAGCAACAGGTCTTTTGAACATCTGACTTGCAAGAATAATTTATTTAATTTATTTATTATTTTTTTGGTACCAGGGATTGAACTTGGGACTTTGTGCTTGTGAGGCAGGTGGCAGAACCACTGAGCTAAATCCCCAGCCCAAGAATAATTTATTTTACAGGATCTGTGTATGAAACAACTCTTACAGACAGATTTGGAATTGTTCAAATATAATTGTAGGTTACATAGAACATATCTTGAGATAAAGGGCCACGGCCCTACTTGGTCTCACTGAGGATATGTACAACGGGAAAGGAGCAAGCAACCAAGGAAGATGGGAGTAACAACATAACTCCTCAGTCCAAAGAGGGATTTACCTAGCAGAAGGAAGATGCTTTGAAAAGGATCTTTTGCATTTTCTTTTTTTTCTGGTTCCGAGGATTGAACTCAGGACTTTGCGTCACAGGCGGCAGCACCACTGAGCTAAATCCCCAGCCCTGCATTTTCATCTGAGGTAAATATGACAAATAACTACTACTCATTTGGACAGGAATACAGAAGAGCAAGGGTGGGTTCTGGCCCAGGTTTGTACTCCCTTGGTCCACTTTTTTTCTTTGTCTCAAACTTATCATGAGAATGTTTATCTGTACTGAGAAATGAGATTTATATTTACCACTAAGAACTATACTGTAAACAGCCAAAGTCTTATAGTCTTTAATGGTTTTTTTCTTCCATTTTCTTTAGAAATTTCTTGTGATTCAAGGACTTAGTAGTATCAAAATCTGCCCATAGAGGCCAAAATATCTGGAAATCTTTGAGAGCTCGGATGTAAATTTTAGATATTTCTGTTACTTTTGTTTTCTATTACTTTTTATAAGTCAGGAATTATCTTTTAAAAAAACTATAGTGCCAGTGACAAAAGCCAATTTGAGTAATAGTTCTGATTTTTTCAAAATTATAGTGGCTGGAGTCGAGGTTTGGAGCAACTTACACACTCATCACTAATCTGCAAATCTGTGGTGTTTTAAGAGCTCATTTTCTACTTTAAATGGCCAAAGGTTGAGAATTGATTTTTTGGTCTGATTTCTAACAGGAACGGTGAGAGAAGAGAATGAATTTTTTACCTGCACCAAGGTTGGCTGGCAGGAAAGCAGCCAAGCCGACAATCTTAAATTTGGTTCCCCAGATATTGGATGTGACCTGAGCAAGATAGTTGTGCTGTGGGGGAAAAATATGAAAAGAAAATTGAAAAAAATCTTAGTCTATTTCCATACTCAAGGATATATTTCTATTGGTCCCTTGTAAGAATGCTACTATTTATTGCTTTACAAGTCACAAGTATGAGCTGGATGGGGTGGTACATGCCTATAATCCCCACACTTTACGAAGCTGAAGAAGGGGGATTTCAAATTCAAGCCCAACCTGGGCAATTTAGTGAGACCTTGTCTCAAAATTAAAAAAACAAAACCAAACCAAACCCTAAAGCTCAGTGTGAAGGCCCTGGCTTCAATCTCTAGTACCGGGTAAGAAAAAAAAAAAATTCCCTCTGTAATTCTGCCTTTTTTTTTGGTACCAGGGATCAAACTCTGGTCCTTGCACTTGCGCAGCAGGCAGCAAAACCACTGAGCTAAATCCCCGGCCCCTGTAATTCTGCCATTTTTAAATACTGAATGATAGGTGGAGCATAGTGAGTTCCCATTTTCTAATGGTGGCACACTGAGCTAGGAGTGAGTGCTTGCTCTCCCAACATGTCTAAATGTATGCAGTTTAAAAAGGCTGCATACCTATAGTCCCAGCTACTCAGGAGGCTAAGGCCACAGGATGGCTTGAGCCCAGGAGTTGGAGGTTAGCCTGGGCAATATAGTAAGACCCCATTTAAAAAAATAAATAATAAGTAAATAAAAAATTTTAATAGGCCACTAAAGTGATTTGGGTACTTTTTTTTTTTTGGTACCAGGGATTGAACTCAGGACTTTGCACTTGCAAGGCAGGCAGTGGAACCACTGAGCTAAATCCCCGGCCCCGGGTACGTTTTTTTTTGCCTCTCCCTTCCCCTAATCACTGAACTAGAGAGGAAATCTTATATCCAAATCCATTTATACCCTTGATGTTTTCTCTGGAAACAGCTACAATGATACGATTATGTCCAATTACCTGTTTTCTCATTCAAATAAAACACATTTCAAAAAGTTATTACTATGCTCAAAAGTATGTACATGCATAGGAGCAAAAATATAGATGAACAAAATCTACTTTCTCAAGAAGCTTATGATCTAATAGAAAAGATAGGGCTCATCGTGATTTTTGTACAAAGTCCCTGAGAGATGTCAGAGGTAATTAGACATCTGATGTCCCAAGTACTGTGCTTGAGCCAGTGCAGGAAGCCTTCATGACAGAGATGGTACTGGAGTTAGGTCTGGAAGTGGAGGCAGAAACAAAGATGGCATGAGTGACTCAGGTAGGACTAGACTGTGGGGTTTGTGACTGGGGCTCTCTCCCCAGAAACTGGGGAATCACTGCTGGACTACAATTGGCTTGACAGCAGCAAGGTGGAAAAGTGTGGAAGTGTCTCAGCCAGAGCTCCACTGGAGGAAGATTCCAGTAGCAGAAAGGTATGTGGAGCGGAGCCAGGCGGCCTGTATGCAGGTATGGTAGTGAGTGGGGCAGGAAGGATGGGAAGGAAGGTGGCACATCCAGGTGGCCAGAGGGTTTGATCAAATTAGACTGGCACTGTTAGACACATTCTACTACCTGAGTGATGTCTTCAAAGGGAAACTCTCTCCGAGTCAGGCTGGGTGAGCCAATGGAGGGCTTACGTATGGGCAACCGGGGAGACCGGGAGATCTCCTGAGCAGCCCGGGGCAGCTTGGGAGACTTCCGGGCTTCAATGCTGATCCTGTGGAGATAACACCAGGAATAGTCAGGCATCTACAGAGAGGGCAAGGCTGGACCCAGCACTTTGCTTCCCTGTCTAGATAGTCTGCCGTGGATGTTGATTCTCAGTGGCCAGAACCCTAATTTCACAAAGCTCTTACTCCTGCTTTTGCTTTATGAACATGAGGAAAGAATAAAAACTGCATACTGAATAACATATACAATATTTAAAAATATACTGAGATTAGATCAAGTGATTTATTTGTAAGGAACCTGAGAAAATTAGCTCTTTCACTTTCTACTCACCTATAGAAAGTTTGTAAATGTCTACATACATTTGCACAACTAGTTTTAGGGAAAATGGCAGGAAAGAAGAGTCATTTCTTATCCAAAGGCCACTATGACTTTTAAAATTCTTTCTATGACAAGTTGAATTTCAACAGATTTATCTACTACTTTACCACCTGTAATATTTAAATCAAATCAGTGAATCTAAAATTTTTCTGTTGCCTTTTGATCCTATTCCCTACCTTTGTTTTTCAACTCCTTTGTAATGTGAAGACACATGTGTTTCATGCCAGTCTACTCCAAAGAGTTTTATAACAATAAATACTGTAAGGTTTACAACATCCTATAAAAATGCATTAAGCTCCTTGTTTATTACTTGCAAACCTGATGCAAAACTTCCTCAGGGATCCTGAGGAATGGGAGGATGGGAGATTGAGCTGATTAAAGCTGTGAGCTAGGACCATACCCTGCTGCTATGTGGAGGGGATTCCAGGTGGGGAGAGAAGGAAGAAGGGGGACCAGTCACAGAGAAGCAACAACCTTAAAAGGACATCTACAGATGAAGAAGGGTTTGTTTGTATGGTAACTTCTTTCTCAGCCTAACTAATGGAAAAAGCTTAAAACACTGGAAGTATTGAAAAGTTCTTTTTTTTTGAGACAGGGTCTCACTATGAACTCAATAGGTAGCCCAGGTTGGCCTTGAACTCACAGTAGTGCTCCTGCCTCAGCTTCCTGACTACTGGGATTACAGGTGTGTGCTATCATGCCTGGCTGAAAAGTATATCATTTTATTTACAATGTTAACAAGGAAGGTTTAGAATAAAATGAAAAAACCAACCAGACTACTCTAGCAACTAAATACCTATATGGAAAAAAAAATGAATGTTTACCCCTGAATTCACACCACACAAAATAATTCATCTGGATGTAAACCTAACCTGAGATACAATGTGAAAGCTGAAACTCTAAAAGGTGCTGGAAGAGAAGACTGTCATTATGGCCTTAGGGTAGAACAAGATTTCCTGAACAGGACATGAAAGGCATTAACCATAAAATAACTTCATATACTATATCTGGTAATATACAGATCTGACAAAACACTTATACCTAGCATACACAGAGAACATTTACAACTCAAACACAGAAAAACGGTTCAAAAATAAATGGACAAAAGACCTGAACAGACATTTCACAAAAGGTGATAAGTAGCTAGAGAGCTAATCAGTGTATGAGAAACATATGAAAAAGTGCTCAGAATTACCAATCATGGGAGATACGAGCATTAAGCTACAAAGAGATACCACAACACACATACCTAAATGGGTAAAATTATTTTTTTAAAATGACTATAGACCTGTAGGTGAGAATGGAAGCAGTTGGAACTCTCTTCTATTACTGCTCAGAATTTAACTTGGTATAGTTTGGTGGTTTTCAATAAAGTTTAACACATATCTAACTCATGACCTTCCAATTCCCTTCTATGTGGATATCCAAGAGAAATGAGAATATATACCCACAAAGGACTTGTATTTGAATCTTTATAACTGGAAACTATTATATATCCATTTAATGATTTAAAAAAAAGATAAACACATTTATTCATTCCCAATGAAGGAATTCCACAGATCAGTAAAGAAAAACAAACGACTGATTTATGTGATAAAATAGATGAATCTCAAAATTACTACGTTGAGCAAAAAAGCCAGATAAAAAGGGTATGACATCGTTTGATTCTATTCGTATAAAATTCAAGAGCAAGCAAATCTAATCTGTTGGGACAGAAGTCATATCAAGTGAAAGAAACACAAGGGACCTTCTGGGATGAAGGGCATAGTTTTTATCTTGCACCGGGCAGAGACACACTGGTATAGCAACTGCCTGATGACCTAGCTGCTTGAAGTCAAGCATTTGTGCATGTATATATCTGTATGTAAAGTGCACCTTAATTTTTCATGGTACCACAGAACTGTGGATGTTAGTGAGGATCTGGTTCACTCATTAATGTCCACAGATAAGGAAACTCCAAAGTCATATAGTCTGTGATGGTGGCAACAAAGAGGAAGGTGGTGTCCTCATCTATGACAACCCAGGACCTTCCACCTACTCTTAGCTTTCTAGTTTTAGACAAATCTTAGAAACCTTTTTTTTTCGTACATTTACTATAACCTTCCATCTACTCTTAGCTTTCTAGTTTTAGACAAATCTTAGAAACCTTTTTTTTGTATGTTTACTATAATTTTCCTAATTGCAGCATTGTAGGTATTTAATTTGACACTGTCTTCAACACACTGCACCCACTGTAAGACCTTTTTCTTCCTTTTCTTAAACTGGAAGAAAAAACAAGTCTGTGAGCTGCGGCCACCCCTATGTCACCTACCATCGTTGATAATCCCTAGAGAAGTTCCGAGGATTTAGCAAACTTCCTACTGGGTGTCTTTCTATCCTGAAGGAAAACAAAGAAAACCTGTAATTATTCCAAGCAGAATCTTCCAGAAGAAAAGGTGGTAAGAAAAGAATAGGGGTGTTGATCTTGCTGCACAAGTGTCAGTTACTTTCTTTAATAAAACAAAGTTTATCTGAGCAAGAAAAGGTTCTAGAACTGGGCCACATTCTGGATTGAAGGTGGTTCAGAATGCACCCCCCAAGTGTCAGTTTTGATGGGATTCTGTTGCAGGCACAGCTAGAGTCATATCAGAGGCACAAAAAAGGGGAAAATATCTGAAGACTGAGATTACCTTGGGAGTTTGGGTGATTTGCTTGCTCTGGAAATTTTGGGAGATTTCTTGGCAGCCCAGTCATCACTCAGTTCAATGTCACTGGAGTCGGAGCAGTTGCAGCTGTCAATCACAGTGGAAATCAGGCTGTTTCCGTAGATCTCATCTGTAAGACACCAACCAACAAGCTTAAGGGAAGTTAAATCATATGACTCTAGCAACAATCACTGCTATAAACTAAAGGACAGATGGACTCTACAACCCATCATTTCAGATTTAGGGGTTCAAATAGAAAGGAGCTTAGCAGTGTTTTTTTAAAAAATATATTTTTATGCTACTTTTAAGCAGAACTAGGCAATTTCTTCTATTGCTGTCAAAATGGCATGGTATTTTAGTATCTCTAGGGATGTACAAAATAGTCTATAACTGTTTACTGTACCGAAAGCTGAAATTAAAATGGCTTTGCTATTGTGCCTCATGACACACAGGTATCTACCCACTTGAGCTTTTATGGACTTTCATATAGCCCAGAAACCCAAGCTGTGGGAGGGCTCACTGACTTACTCTCTGGGAACCTGATTCTGACCTCTTGTCGGTCCAGGCCTGCTAGGACCACACTTCTGACAGAGCTTGGTCTGTGCTGAGGTCTTCTGGCTATTTGTGTCTGCAATGTCAGGGAGTCTGCTGGCACTGACACAGGCTGTCTATGAGGGGCTAGCTATTCCACCTGGCACAGTTGTCTGTTTGCTGGGATCATGGCTGAGGGCAAGAGACCTTGTACGGGGGGACTTTCAGTGATAGTTCTAGGTTATTCTTCGGGTACCTTGAATGGAAGCCACTCGTCATTTTGCCAAATGGCTACCCACAAGAAAAATCAGAAAACTGAAAGTAAAAGCCAAGACAACTGTACAGTTGACAGAGCTCATCATCCTTGAAGCTGCTTCTCCTTGGCACACTCTCCTAGGACCCCCCCCCCCTTCACAACCCTAGCTCCCTCAAAGTAAGAATCCCATATCCCATTCTTACTTTGCTAACTAAAACTATTCCCTTAAGGCTCTGAAAGGCTTGCTAGGAGATAAAAAAGCTGAATCATTCAACCACAGCAAAGTAAGTGAGCGATTTCACCATTCAAAGAAACTGCTGATATCTCAGGTCGGAAGATGTTAATTCAAACCCACCTCTGAGTTTCTGAGCATGTGGTGGTGACATCTGTGGACAGGGGAATTTATAAGGCAGAACAGGTTGGCTTGCTACTTGAAAAAAGGCTGGTGCCCAGGCTGTGTCATCCCTTTCTTAAAATACTGAATCAGAAGGCACAGCCCTTATATCCAGCCAACTACGGTGCTGTGAGTCTGAGTTTAATCACATGAAAAGGCTTAATTCATGTGCCTGAGCGGTGTTTTATATTAATTCAGGAGTCACTGGACCAAAGGAAGTTCAGCTGTGATTCACTCATGCAAGCCCACAGAATGCTTCCATGTACGCATAAACAGGCCCCTGAAAATAGAAATCATGCATTGCCCACTCAACCACCAACTTCCTTGTGCACACAATTACTCAGATGCTTTGTCTCACGCCACTTGTTCTTTCTCCTTTACTCATAAGTACTTTTTAATCGCCTGTCTCCCCAACTAGAAGGTAAATCCCACAGGCAGAAGAGCCATCTTCTTTGTCTCCTCTGGGACTAGAACAATCTTTGGAAATGGATGAAGACTACCTGACAGTTGCAGGAGAACAAGGAAACTTCCTTCTTTTCTTTTTTTTGGTATCACGGATCGAACTTGGGTCCTTGAGCTTGCGCAAAACTGCCTTCTGAGTACATTTGTGAGTTCTGCATGTTCAGAGTTGTAACTACACATGGGCAGGCAGGGTACAGCAGACTACTCTGGTGTCTACCATCACCATAATGAAAAATTTCCTACATTCCATTAGAACAACAATCAAGGAGGCCAGGGTGGTGGTGGTGTATTTCTCACACTTCTAAAGATTCTGGGGCCGGGGATTTAGCTCAGTGGTTTCCTGCTGTGCAAGCACAAGGACCTGAGTTTGATCCCCGGTACCAAAAAAAAAAAAAGAAAAAGAAATCTAAAGATTCTGTACCATCAAGTCATCATGGAAATTCTGGAACATCCAAGGTATAAAAAAACATAAACTAGGGGGCTGGGGATTTAGCTTAGTGGTTTTGGCGCCTGCCTCACAAGCACAAGGTCCCGAGTTCAATCCCTGGTACCAAAAAAAAAACAAACCATAAACTGGGATTGGTCTTTGGGCACTAAGAGAACTATAATACCTGGGATTCACATTCCAATTTTGAAGGTTTTCCAAATATGCAACCTGAATTAGATTTTGGTGTGTGTTTGTACTAGTGATGAATATAGGGCCCTCACATTGAACTATACCCCCCAGCCCTTATTTTGGGACAGAGTCTCACTAACTAGCTAAGTTGCCCAGGCTGGGCTCAAACTTAGGATCATCCTGCCTCAGTCTCCCAGAGTGCTAGGATTACAAGCGTATGCCACCACACCTGGCTTCAAACGCTGTTCTAATCACATTTTAATATATTCCCTGTCTTAGTCTGCTTAGGTTACCACCACCAAGTTCCATAGACTGGGTGGGCTTCTACAACAGAAATTTATTTTCTCATAGGTTCAGAGGCTAGAAGTCCCACATTAGTAAAGCAGTATGGCAAGATCCTAGTGGGAGCTCTTCCTGATTTATAGATAAATGTCTTTGTGCTATGCTGAGATGGCCTTTCATTGGAGCAGTGGATGGATAGAGTATCTCTATTCCAGGTTCTTCTAAGGCCACTAATCCTATCAGATTAGTCTCCTTCCTTATGACCTCATTAAACCTTAATTAACCCCTAAAAAGACTTATCTCCAAATACAGTCACATGGAGGGTTAGGACTGCAACACAGGAATTTTGAGGGGGTTGCAATTCACCCCATGGCATTCTGCCTCTGGCATCTCGAAAATTAATGTCTTTTTCCCATACGAAATACATTTATTCCATTCCAATAGCCCAAGTTAAAGTCTTAACTCATTCTAGCATCAACTCTAAAATCTAGTCTTGTCTAAATATCTTAATCAGATACAGACGGGACTTGAGATAAAGTACTTTCCAGCTGTGAACCTAAGAAACCAGACAAATTATGTGCTACCAATACAGGATAGTGGGACAGGCACAGTGTAGACATTCCAATTACACAAGGAGAAACTGAAAGCAAGGAAGGGGTGCTAAGTCCAAACCAAGTCCAAAAGCCAGCAAGACAATCCCATTAGACCTTAAGACTTGAGAATAACTCTCTTTAGTGGAATACTCTACCCTTCAGGCCCACTGGGGAGCAGCATCACCCTCATGGCTCCAAGAAACTCTGCCTCCAGGGTTCCAGGGAGAGGCCATTTGACTGCTGAAACCAAGGAAGTGGTACTGCTGATTTCTCAACTACCTTTGGGGACATTTTCCCTTCTTCTTAAGAATAGAGCAATATAGCAGCCAAATAGTTCTATCATCCTGACCTGTCAAATCCAATAAGTCTATCTGCCTTCCTGAATTTCATTCCATTTTCATTCCTTTTAGTTCAAATTGGAAGTGGTTTTGTTTGTACAATTTCATAAACTCTTTATCAAACGACAGTTCAGTCACATCTTTGGTACTGTATTCAGAATAGGATTTCTCATTTTTGCAATGAATAGGCTGTGAATTTGCAAAATCTTCAGGTTCTGGATACTTCTAGTTTACCAACTCCTTCTTCAGTTCATCTCTTTCCTTTCCCATGTTACTGCAAGTAGTCAGAAGGAGCCAAACCACTCCTTCTACACTTTGCTTAGAAATTTTCTTAGTTATATATCTGATTTCATCACTTGAAAGTTATGTATTTTTGCACACACTAGAACACTCTTCTGCCAAATTCTGACTTTATAATGATTACTTTTCCTCCAGCTTTAAATAACATGCTCAATTCCACCTGAGACCTTACCAGAGTTGCCCTTAAAACTGTATTTCTACAGTGCAATTCAAAACACTTCCAGCCTCTACCCATTAGCCAGTACCAAAGCTTCTTTCATCTGTTTCATTATTTGTTAAAGCAACAACTCACTCTCAGTGCCAAAACTTGCATCCACCTATAGTATTAGTTTTCTTTCTCTGAAGAACCCTGGTATGTGTGTGTGAGTATACACATATACATACATACATACACACACACACACATATATATATGTATATATATAGAGAGAGAGAGAGACAGAGAGACAGAGAGACAGAGAGAGAGAGAGAGAGACAGAGAAAGAGAGACAGAGACAGAGACTTGTGGAGGCTGAAAAGTCTCAACATCAAAGTGTCATCATGGTTCCTGAGGCAGGCTCTTCATGACCTGCAGACAGTTGCCTTTCCTTTGTACCAGTGTGTGGAAAGAGAGACTTCTCTCTTCCTTAGAAGGTTAATAATCCTATCAGATTAGGACTCCACCCTTATAATCTCATTTAACTTCAATTATGTCCTAAAAGCCCTATTATCTAAATTTAGTAACATTAGCAGTTAGTACTTTAACACATAAATTTGAGAATTCAGTCCCTAAAAAACTGATTAAAGGTTCCTTTTGAAACTTTGTGGATTTTTCACTAATATACACACACAACTCATTCTATTTAGTTTAAAAATATTGGTAATTTTGAGGAATATATTTGTCAAGTCATTTAGAGAACAATTACAACAGTGGATCACTAAGTTTAGTGCATAAAAAATCACCTGGGGGCATCCACTCAGTTGCAGATTTCTAGGCTCTACCCTAGACCTAGAGCCCCATCTAAGGAATGAGCCAAGGAACTTAAATTATTTAATATACCACCAGGTGATTTGCACCGAGGTAGTCCAAAGATAACCTTTTCAAAAACAATTACAAGGAAGCTTGAAAGAGTTCATCATGAGGCATTCCTGGCTTTTCAAAGTCAGGAATCACTTTGTCCTCTGTGCTAGTTTATATGTACCATTCAGTTGGCAATTACTCATATTGTGCCTTGTGACACAGCTTCTATTTTTGTCACGAGGTATTTAAATCTTGACCTTTTAATTGAACTTTTCAAGTGCTTAAATTTTCTTGTCACCCATAAGGGTTTAAAAATCCCTTAAAAGCAAGAGATACCCTAGTACTACTTACCACTCCC